TGTGTGTTCTACTTGTAAAGACAAAAACCGGGCACCTTCTTCAGCAAATGGATGCTCAGCACCTTCCAAAAACTTGAAAGTGGCCCAGATTCATCACACCAACAGTGAAGCTCCTCAAAACACTCATTATACTTGAAAAAAAGTTCTTTAAAAGTATATGGACATGAGTATCAGGTGTTAGCACAATTTTGATATGCATTCTTGTGTGCCTATGTGTGTATACACTCATTAAAACATAGATTTTGATCACTGAAGCTTTTTCTTCCAATGCTGTAGATGACAGTTCCAAGCTTCCAGCAGAACCCAGTTTCTGCCAATCTCTTTGGCTGGGGCTCTTTCTCCTTCCTTGTATTCCTCTCTCTGGATTGGAAGCATTGATAAAAATGTCAATGATTCAAGCTAAAATTAGTCCATGCAGACAAAAGATATATGCTCTATGTAACCTCTACACAAAAGCCACCATTTTCTAGGCACTCAAACTGGACAAAAAAATTAAAAACACATTTTATTTTATTTTTTCCAACCAAACCAGCAGCAATTATGGAGCTTGTTTCCTGAGGGCTAACAATCTGCTGGGAGCATCAGGCCAGACTACCATTAATTCCCCAGGAAATGCCCCAGGCCAAAGCTGTTATTGCTATTAAAATAAATTGTTTCAATAAATAAAAAACAATCTAGGCATTAATGCTGCTGGCTTCCTGTAATGGCTTCATGCATTCCGAAACCTCAGTGGGGAGGAAAATTTCAGAGGGCCCCCAGTAAAAGATTCAGCATTAAGCACAGCCAGACAAACAGTAGGAGCAATATCTTCTAGGGAATTTGCAGTCAGCCCCACAGGCTGCTGAAATCCCCTGACAGAACAGAGGAAGCTCTCCAGGAGCCCCTTATTAAAAAGGCTCAGGCCAAGCAGTCTAAAACTTGGAATGATCTCCCCTGGGCTGTATTTTGGAAGCCCCTTGTTAATAACTTGGCAGCAAAGCTTTGCTTATGAAAGAAGAATAAAATAGGAATTTGTGGAGGTTTCCCTCCAACTGCTTCGTCCTAAATGGAGTGACAAAACTGGGATAAGTCTCCTGTCCAAAAGGAGGCACTGGAACAGCTCTGATACATTTTGAATGTTTAATATTTATATAACCACAAGGGAGGTTTCTGGTCTTGCTGATAGTCTGTGACTGCAAAGACAGTTCCAGCTGTCACTGAGACGCACGAAGACTTTCCAAACACTCAGGAACAGGTCCACAACAAATAACAGATCTGAGGTTTGTAAGCAGAGATAGCCTCTAATTAAAAACCTAATTCTATAAAGAAAATCAGGTTTCAAATAAAGGGTGTCTCTGTGTCTTTTGCAAGACTGAACTCTAAATAATATCTATCTGTTAGATCAGCTACTAATTTCATTCCTCATTGACACTATTCACACTTTTTCCCTGTTTCTGAAGAAATAGGTTCTGGAATCTGGGATGAGAATGGCACCAAAATGGCTCTGATATCTAACCATGATAGCTGCAAATCAGGCCTCTTTTGCTTCCTGCTGTGATTTTTACTATTCATCTTCCTATTCCATAGGAATATTCCCAGCTCTTATATGGGAATATCAGTACAAAAGATGGTGGAAATTAGTGTAGAGGCTTTTGCTAATACTGGCACTTCTCTGTGCACTGCAAGACTCTGCATGTGTGAGTGACTGAGCCTGCACACTCTTCACCTGCAGCTGCCTACCCAAAACTGCCATTTTGTGAAGAAAATGTGAGCACCATTGAGCACAGAAGGGATCCCACTATTTTTGGATGCTCTCTCCAGGCTAAAAAACACCCCACTGCCAGGAGAGAGGAAAGGCAGTAGAGAGGATCATCCTTTCAAACCTGCAGTTTACCCATGAAATAGCAAAACTTCCCTGCATTGGCTCTGAGGGTATCCAGCACTCTCTGCCCCAAGAGAAAAAACACATTTTTATATTGCCTTTACCTATATACAATTTTATTTTCCAAATTCCTATTCTGAGACAACTCATCAGCATGGAGAAGCCCTGAATGCAGCATTTTCAGTCTGCGGAGAGCACCTGAGGGACATTTTCAGTGTCATGGAACAGAGCAGTTCTTGCACTGCAGTTTCTCTTTGGCACCAGAGCTGTGGTCAGGAGCAGTGGGAAGATGTGTGACCCAGAACCAGCCCTCCCTGGCTGCTCAATACCCTGCCTCTCCTGAGCCACTATAATGGATCCTCTGTGGACATCAGCTGTGGCCTGAGGTGCCTTCAGGGCCCCAAACTCAGGCAGGCACAAAAAAAAAAAAAAAATCCAACTACTCTGCTGTTCAAAATATACACTGTGAAGAGGGATGGCTTTGCTCTAGTTTTAATGTAAATTATATTTGCACCCTGTGATACAGTTTGTCTTTGAAGTCATAAGATAAAACATCTCCATACTCACATATATCAAAATAAATCATGACAAATCCATCATTTCCACGAAAAGCAGAGGCAAAATTACATGCAGCAGATAAAGATGGTTTAGGACATCTGCTGTTTCAATTCATGGGTCAGTCATCAAATATTTTTATAATAAATAACAAACTGGACATAATGTCACTGAGACTGAAACCCATCTAACAGCCATGGTGAGGGACATGGAAAACAGCTGATCTTTAAGGGCTCTTCCAGCCCAAAACATTCTATGGTTCCATGATACATTGGAAAACATAAGCAACCAAGTCCTCAAGAACCAAGAACTCAGCACTTGAAACCAAAGTTCTGAGGTCTGAGTTTACCTATTTGATATCCAGTGGATGTGAACATCATATGAGGAAACCACAACAAGACAGGGCAGACAAATCCCACAACAAGAGGACAGTTAAAGTTGTTTGTGCTGCAGTAAAATCTGGAGGCTCCTGCCAAGGCTGACCTCTTGTGACAGGGATGAATCAAGACCTTGTGCCCTAAAACAAACATAGAGTCAAAGAGCTCTGCTGTGGTCGGTGGAAGAAAAGTCCATGGAGCATTGCCAGCAGCCCTGAATCACAGTCCCAACTATCCTGGACCATTAATCCTACAACTTTCTCTGCCCATTACTGTTTAGATGGGGAACACAACATTAACAGCATTTTGTTTTATAGTAGGGATGGGAAGGTAGGTATTCTTATGTGAAAATAAATGGCAGCTGTAGGTAAGGGGGAAGAAGTGGGATAGACAGAAGACTCCTTTAAAGCTTGTTTGTTTAACTTTTCCTTGGAAATACCCATGCAAGAAAACAAATCTATCCTACTCAGCTGTCTTCTGTGATGAACACTACTAATTCCATTTAATCTGCCTGACTCTGAGGGCTGTCATGAAAAAATGCATCCTGATGACAGCTCTGGTTGTGTAGAAGAGGCAGAAATTTGTATAACCCTTCATGGTCCTTTTAGAAGAATGCTTCACTAAATAATATGCAGAAACACTCTCACTAAACTACTCAGTGGTTCCAAAGTGCAAAGCCCAAGTTAGCTGCTTCAAATCCAAATACTTGGATTAACAGCATGGGGGCATCTCAGCAAGAGCAAGACATGGCACCAAGAATGCACACTGCTTAATGAGTTAGCAGGACTGAATTAGCTGGCAGGCATGAAAAAGTAGCTTGTAAATACTGGAGTTGTAGTTAATATAGCCTTGAACACTTGAACACAGCCACAACCTCTCTGGGCCACCTGTGCCAGTGTCTCACCATCCTTACAGTAAAGAATTTCTTCCTAATGTCTAATCTAAGTCCACTCTCTTTCTGTTTAAAGGCATTCCCCCTGGTTCTGTCACTTTTCTTTCACCTTTTGAAGTGAATTTTTTTAGAAGACTGCTCCCCCGTTACTTGAAAGATACACGTGGGTGAAAGATATGCTGTGATCCAAGGAAATCTTACTCTAAAGTAGATTTAAATATACAATTAAGTAGATTCTCAAGTTACTTCATCTTCACACTTCTACTGAAGATAAGCCAAATTCTCTTAAGCAGTGTAAAGATTTGAGTGCTGCTTATTTTGCAAATTACAGGACAACAAACTTGCCTCCCTAATGAGCCAGGCTTTGATCTCCAGGAAAATGAAGCATTAGGAATAATACCACATGTAAGATTACATTGTGTTGAACTCCAGATGAGAGCAGACTCAGTGGAAAGCAGTGCACAATAAACTCTGTTATACACTACCTGCTAGAGCTGCCCGGGTCAGGCCTCTCAAGGGAGAATTCACTGAGAGAAGAATGAAATACACAGTTCAGAGAGGCAGATTTAGCCCCAGGTGACTATGCAAGGAGGGTCTACCAAAAGCTGGCAGGAGCCCAGGGAGGTGCTAGGCACCAGAGGAGCAGTACCTGTGATGAAGGCATAGGCTGCCAGGATGTTGCTGAGCAGGGCCATCTCCGCGCCGACGCCCACGGGCTCCATGCTGCTGCTGCTGCTGCTGAGCCCCGGCGCTTCTGTCTCATCCACGGGGAGCAGGAGGGGGGTGTTGTCTACAGGGTAGAAAGTGGCTGACCTCTCCTTCTTCTTCTCTGCTTTGACACAGAAAGGGAATGACGAATGAGGAATGTAGAACGTGACCCAGCCCTACCTTGCCTTATCCCCACCAGGTCAGCATCTGTACGCAGAAATCCGGAGCTACTCGACAGGGAGTCACCCAAATTTTCCCCTTTTTGGGGGATAGCTAAACCTTCTCAAGCAGCTTCAGCTGAGCACATACCCCATCTGCATCCAGGCATCATCATCTCTCCCCCATCTCCTCCTCTTTCATGTCAGCACTTAGACACACCCACCTATGCTACAGCAAATATATAATCAGGTTTCTTTTCTCTTACGTAAATCAAAGGAGCCTTTATCAACAGTGGGTTCAGCTAAGCTTGTAGGGAAGAATGGAAAACACAGGCAGAGCCCACAACCCTCTGCTGGTGTGGTGCTGTAGTGATCCATCCACACCTGGCAAACAGACGTGCTTTCTCTCCAGCCTTCATGGGGAAGGACAGACCTGAGTTTATCACTTCCTTCAGAAGCCTGTTCGTATTGTGTTTCACCCAGACACCATTTCCCCTCTGGAGAGGTGAGTGAACATGGGTTAATGATTTGATTTTATTTGTGGAAGACTAGAGCTAAGGAGGCAGTTCATTCCAGGAGGCTCAAAGAGACCCTTTCAGACCTTATCAGCTCACTGCTGAGGGCTCCCCACACCTTGATCTGCAGGCAGACACCCCCCAGTACTCACTACTCACAGAACAGTAATTATTTTCAACACAGGAAAAAGTGCACAGGATCCAACTCCATCATCCATGTGAGTTTTTAACTGTAGCTATCATAGATTTTCAGGCTCCCTCCTCTGGGTGTCTAGTTCTGGCCAAAAGCAAACATCACCGTAAAATCACAGACTTGCACCTGGCTTCCACTTATCTGCAGGTATTAAATTCAGGACACTGCCAGCTCCACCTCCAGTGATGCCACCAGTGCCATGCAAGCAAAGGCATTCTGTCAGGAGTGATGATGTGAGATGTCTCTGTTCCTTGGCTGCCTGACCCATCTCCTTTCCCTGCAAACCCAGCAGCATGAGACATCACGTTCAGCTTCCTGCTGTGGGTGCCAAGAAGCAGCTCAGCCCAAGGAAGCAGTAACAGAAAGTGAGGAGTGTCAAAGAGAACAGGTAATACTGGATGGAGAAGGACTGAGGGCAGGAATCTGTGCAGTGATGCCAAGTCCTAATCTGCCTCAAGGAGAACCAGCAGGGATGGATGTCCAGGTGTCACTGTGAGGAATCAGCCCCAAGGAATGTGGGCACAGCTGTACCTCTGCCACTGAATAGCTGCATGACCTTGGGAAAGCCACATGGTCAAGGTTACCACCATGTTAATGACTGGACTTTGAGCAAAGTGTCTAAACATGAGTGCTTGGGTGTCATATCCCAAAGTGTAAAATACCCCAAGAGCTTTAGTAGAATAGAGGTTATTGCAGATCCCTTGTGCAAAAGGGACACAGAGGGTCCAAGGGCACATTTGGCAGGAAATCAATAGCCACATTTCAAAATTTTTTTTAGTTCAGATTTTTTTTTTAATTCAGATTAACATGCCCTCTAATATCTCCTTTATCCTCCCTGTCTGGTAAATCTGCCTGTACAAGTTCTCAAATTTTTCCCTACCGCTGTCCCAAGGAAATCCACAGACAGAGCATAAATATTTAACATCTAAGAACTGAACCTAAAATTTGGGTATTTCAGGGCATCTCAAGTAGCACCATGTATCTAAACTAAGGCAAGAGAATCCTGCTATTAGTTGATGGATAGCAGAGAGTCATTCAGCTCTCCCCACAGCAGAAGCTTGATGTATGTGCTCATACACAAACACCTAAGACACCCCAGGGTAAGGAGCCCTCCTTACCATGCAGAGTTGGCAGGTATAAGGAGGGATGCAGGGGAAATGCCCACCCTTCTATAAGCCAGGTGAACACCCCAGGTCATCACAAATATAGGGATAACTGAATCCTATCTGAGAGGTCTCCTGATTGAGGTCTGGCTCTGAACTAATTAAGATCCCTTCACAATCAAGGAAAATGAAGGGCACCACCAGGAAATAATCTCATACATATTTCCTATGTGAGAGGGACACCATCTCTGTTGGGTGTGGAGCAGCCCTTATAAACCACGTGCCACAACAGTGTCTTCAGGAGGCAGAGTAAGGGATAACTCCTCTCGAGATGTGAGATGTAAGAAGAATCCCTTTTTTTTTTATTTTCACTTTTAACTTGTCAAATGAATAGATGCAATCAAACATTTTTAAATTAATACTGCCCTGCATACACTGAACTCCAGCAAAGAGCACCACAAAACCACAGAACTGGTTTTATCATTGGCAGGATTGTACAAGCACAGACACGGAAAACAGAAAATGACTGGACTTATGCAGAACAGAAAAAACAAACACACACAATTTCACAAGGGCTATGTGTTGCTGCACTATGTGGTTCCCTGGTCTGCCATTGCTTTCAGGATCATACAAAAAGATATCCCCTTTCCTCCTTGCTAGCTTTGAAGACTTTTCAATGTCTAATCAGCTCACTACTACTGGTTTTCTCCTCACCACTCTTTCTTAGTTTGCCAGTCACTTGAACAGCTTCTATGTGAGTTTACACCAAAGCTGAACAAAATTCTTTCAGCCAGCAGTAAATTTGCCCAACACCATAGTATAAGCACAAGAGAGGTTATTCATTATATCAGGCTGATGTTAGCAAATAGTTTTAACAAAAGAAATAAAACAGGAAGGGACACTACAGAAATTTTCAAGTATTTTGTTATTTTTGAAACATTCTTCTAGATTTTAATTTCAAAATGACATCTTTGTTTGAAAAGTGATGCATATTTTGAAAATGAATGAATAAACAATGTGAAAACTAAACAAAAGGTGTCATTCATAGAAGTAAAATGTTTAGATGAGTGGAAATCAGTTCAGGATATTTTTCCTCACTTAAAAGACTCTCCAGGATCCCAATATTTGTTTGGGCTTAATTTAAAACTCTTCTCCTTGACAGTTTTTCAGTAAGACATCCAAACTGACAAACCTGTTATTGCCAGTTTTTATTTATTTGTGAACTGACTATCCAAGCTGTGGATTAACTTTGCCAGGAGTGTAGACAGAGACAAGCTCTACCCATACCTACCCCTCAAGCTGAATCTCTGGGAGCACAGACTGGGATTTTCAGTAGTGTTATAAACCATCTCCTGCATACTGGGAAACAACACAAAACCACCAAGGAACCCAACACGTGCTCACCTGTGCTCTTCCTTTATTCATACACCACCCCTTCTTCCTACTCACTTATCCCTAGAGATGGCTAAGATCTGACTTCATTCATATCTTTTCACTTTGCATTTTATGAAAATTGCCTTGTATTTCAAAGCCCAGTTGAAAACTTCTCTGTCCCATGAGGCAGATCTAGTGTCTCTGCCCTGTTTATTTATTTATTTATTTATTTATTTATTTATTTATTTATTTTGCCACTAGACAGGTCTGGAAAGTATTTCTGAGATGAATTTGGACATGCATGGCCATGACTGCTATTCCAAGAAACCTGGCATTTCTTGAACAGTTTCTCAGTTCACTTTAGCCAGTTGTTGGTCACATCTTGAAGCTGTCACAGCCATTTCTGACTGTGACTTGGATGGCATTTAGGAGCAATACAGAAATCCAGAGAAGAGGAGATGGAAAGGAACAGTTATCACAACACTGTTAGGTCTGGGCCAACACCACAATGGTCACAGCTACCTGTGAGAGCTCGCTCTATGTTGGAAGAAGAGACATCCGAAAGGAACACGCCGTCCCCTATAACATTGGGGTCAAACACTCTTGGCTGCAGTGGAAAATGTGGCTTCTGATACTCTTGTTGATTAGTTGGTCTTGCCTGAGTTTCATGCAGAAGCTTCTTGGGAACTGAAAGAGAGGAGCAAGAAAAGCACAGTTGTTAGAGTGAGTTATTTCAGCTGGTCAATAAGAATTGTCACATCATGCTACGGGCTCAGCTGATAGTTAATTATACCACATGCAGCCCAAACAGACACTCATTTTCCACTACGATGAATGCTCTCCAAATGGCAGCACATAGACATTCAATGAGAGAATGCTGGAAACCATAAAGTGATTAAGATACTGTTTATTTACAAATAAGCCTTGAGACTAGGCTAAGGATCAGATTCAGAATGTTATGTTTAGACACTCATCTCAAAAACTGAAATAGAGCTTAGTAAACCAGGCTTTGGCCTCAGCTCTAGACGTCAAAGCACTCCAGTCAGAGTTCTCTGTTTCTACCATGACAGAAGACTGGACAGGATGCCCTACAGCAATGGGAGCTATGCCTGAAATCCTGCTTCTCTCAGCCATCAAGCTGCTGGCTCAAGACTGAACATCAGAAGTTCCCATCCACCCCAGATTCACAAAACCAAACTCTAGAGGATGCTGCTCATGTGAAATTATAAAGCTTATTTAATCCATCACAAAAGTAAGTTCCTGCTATAAGAAATTCTCACACCCTGTGAGATCCAAAATACGCTGTTTCCCATTGAGTTTTAGCCTGTAAGATGGGAAAGGCCCATTCTCCATTCCCACCATCCTGAGGAACATGAAGACTCAGCTAATCCCTACTACTCTCTCTTTTGTCAGCCACAGCATGAGCAATATACACATGAAATGATAGGTTAATACATGACAGACTTTTTTTATGTCTCTGGTCTCTTCTTTGGACCAAAGCATGCCCTAATAACACGAGTGTTTTCTCCTCCTTACAAGGCCAGTTCTTCAGCTGTACAACCAGGTAAAGAAATCAAAGCTGGTGTAGCTGCCTCAGTGTACACCCACTGAAGGTGAATCCACACAGTGAATTCACTCATTTCCCCTGTAGGGACAAATAATGGAGTCATCTATGAAGCTGAACCAGTTCTCTTCCTCAGCCACAGCCAACACCTGAAGCTATTTCAGAGCAAAGTGCTTCTCCATACAAAGAGACAAAATATATATGCAGGTCTTTCTCGTCAAAAAGTAGAGGAATTGAGTGATGAAAGACAAAAATAAATTACAATTTCCACAGGAGAAAGATTTTTTTTTTCCTGTCACTGACTATACATTAATGCCTAGCAGACAATGAAGACTTCAGACTGCTTAAGACACAGACTGTTGAGCACTAGGCACAAGTTCAGTGGACCTACATAAGCTTCAAGAGATTTCTGGGATGCCTGTTTCCCCTTTCTCCAAGTGTAACACTGCCTTCCTCTCTCATTCCAAACAGGCTGCCACCTCCCAGTGCCTCAGTTTCCCCAGGGCTCCACTTGGATCACGCTATCTCTCATCTCCACCCTTCACAGGGGCGTGAAGAAGCACAATTAAAAATGCAAAGCACTTTGAGATGTTTGGCAGAAGCTTGAAGGAGAACTGGGAAAGAGGGCAGCTCTGGATCAGAAAGGAAATTCCTGCCTGCCCCCTGCAGCTAATCAGCTGCCAGACTGGAACAGGAGATTTAATCACATCCATTAAATTTGCCTGCATCGCCCACCACATTACTGGTGGGTGAAGTGTTCCAACCACTTTGTTTACATTATGTTTGACTTACTGTCTTTGCTGAGGCAAAGAAAATTGTAACGAGATTTACAGACTGACCTCCTGTATTAGGCTGCCAGGACATCAGCACTGAAGTTCTTGCATTATTAGAAGAGTCATGCTAGGTCAGGAAACAGACAGAAAACCCCTCTGCTTCTGAATATCAAAGAGCTGGCACAGAGGTTTCTAGTGAAAACTGAATTGGCAACAGTTGGAAGGCAGCAAAAAAACACATCCCCTAGTAGGAATCAGACAGGAATGAGGGGGATACCTGTGCCAGGGAAATAGCAGAAAGTCTGTAGAGTGGGTGGGTAGAACAGAGATTATCCTGCAAACCACAGCCAGGGAGAACTGCAGTTCTGGGTGCCAGATTTGAGGCACCCAAAAGGACGCATAGGGCTCAGCACCCCCCAAAAATAGTCCTGTTGCTCTATCTCAGACTGAGGACCTGATAAGTATTTAAAAGACATAGAACATTTTCCTTTATACACTTTTCAGCCAAACTGCATCCCAGCAACCTGTTGATAGGCATCCAGTGAAGAAAATGAAGCAAAAAGCTTTCAATTTTCAGACTTACTCTTCTTCATAAATATCTCCTTTACCTCTCAGCATTCGTGACCATCTCCAGGGCACAAGACAGGCTGGATGAACCTGCATCTTTTATAAAAACAGTGACACTACCCAACACTACCCTACTTAAATATTTGAGTGAAGTAGGGGAAAGAAACACCATCATCTCTGGGTGTTCCTAAGCACGCCCAGAGAACTGAGATACGGCTTTTCCATCTTGGCATCTGCACCACCACCATTTGAATGCTACCTACAGGACCAGGGGAGGAGTCAGGAGTCAGGAGTCAAGCAAAACATTGCTAAATCAGACAGCAGCAGTAGAGAAGTATTCAAGGAGAAGCATTGATAGAGAGTATTAAGAGAGTATTATTGTCACTGCACCTCATCAAGTAGGGCTGTGCTGTTACCTCTGTGGGATGGCTGAGGACATAAAACAGAGGTGGCTGTGAGATTCCCAAAAGCAGGCATGTGCTTAACATCTGTGACTAGCACATACTTTGGGACTTTCAAAAATTCCAAGGGGTGCTTTTCTTCACGTCAGCAACTAGATCCCTTTAAAACTCTGGAAGCAACTTAGAGCAGCACTGGATGTCTACAGCACGCAAACTTGGACTTTTCCATTTCAAGGGATCATTTTTCTCCATAAACATCTTGAGTACATTTTGCCAGGAAAGGCCCATCTTTGCAAAGAGTACACAGAGAGATGGCATGCAGCAAGTCTGCTCCTTTTCTAGTTTATATGATACACAGCTTTCTTTTGATTTAGAAAGACTGTGAATAGGAAAGCACTTCTCAAGTGTAAAATACCTCACAATTTCCAGTTAGCTCCTATGTGGCAGCCAACTCCACAAGAAAGATTAAACATCTGGTTCCTTTGAAATGCCCTCCTTAAATTCTCCAGGGAGGAGTGCATCTGACACAAAGCATGGCATGAGTTAAAGCAAAGTGTCAAGGAAAGTTATTTATTATTAAAACCACCAGAATAAAAGTACCAAGGATTTTAGTCTTATCTCAGTATTAAGCACAGAAATCCTGGCAGGGAAGGGTTGTCACTTGTTCTGCTCCATGCAATCAAGCAGAGAAGTTAAAGCAATTCAGTCAGCAGAATGAGTGATGGATCAAGAGGAGAAGAATCAGCTTCAATCAAAGCGTTCACACACCTCATAGTCAGGAACCCTGCACTTAAAAATGCACATGAGAAATGAGCTTGAGTCATTCAGAAGAGAGGAGATGAGTTGCTCTGGGGCATCTAGGGACTTTCAGTCTCTCAGGGGGCAGCAGTCAGCATTGAGATGTGGGTATTTATCCAAACAATAAAATTCTACAGCAACTTGGGCTGTGCATCTGAGAAGCAGAGGTGGCACTTTAGGTCTAACTTTTCAGATGGCAAGCCTTGCTCAGCCACTCACCCTGGGGCTCAACTCAAACATCACCACATGGATTCCATGTCAGCCAGGACTTGATCTAGTGACAAAGTGTCACTATCTCTGTGACACTCCATAAAGGTACCTGCAGAAGTTGGTTCTAGGTTATAAATCTGCAAAGGAGCTTTTGGATCAGCAAGTTCATTCCTCTTCCATTACAGGCTTTCAAGTCTTTACATAATCCCCCTGTGTCTGCTTTAAAAGCAATCCCAGCTCCCACTGCTCATCTGTCCGAATCAACATTGTGTTAGCAATAATTTATAGCAGTTCCCAACCCAAGAGCTGCATTACCCATCTGCAATGAATTAATGGCACCAATCTCACAATGAAACCTCTCCTGAACTGCCTGGCAGCCTCCTCCCACTGCAGAAACAGGGGTGAAGGAAAATCAAAGCCAGAGTGTGCTCTCAAGGGCAGAGCAGATCCATCAGAGTCGCTGGGAGCAGCCAGCAGGACAGTGTGAAAGGCACATGCTGGTGCTGCTGACAGTATCCTTATTTGTACTCAGCGGAGACGCCTTCTGCTGGAATTTTCACACAAGCAGTTTCTTGTGTGGCCAAAAAATCCAGAGCTGATGAAAAGAAAAAGTTACTGTGTCTACAGGCAGCAACATTCCAAATTGCAATGCTAAGAGATGGAAAAGGCCAGTCAATACCTCACCACTGTTCTTTAAGAAGAGAGTCTCAGACTGTTTTGGGTTGGAAGGGACCTTAAAGACTACCTTGTTCCAACTCCCCTGCCCTGGGCAGGGACACCTTCCACCAGACCAGGTTGCTCCAAGCCCCATCCAGCCTTGGCCTTGGACACTTCCAGGGATGGGGCAGCCACAGCATTGCTGGGCAACCTCTGCCAGTCAAGAATTTCTTCCTAATACCCAATCTAGACCTACTCTTTTTCAGTTTAAAGCCATTCCTCCTTGGCTTGTCATCACATGTCCATGTTCCTCCTCAGGTTTCTTGTAGGCCTCTTCATGTACGAAAAGACCATAATAAGATAATTTGCTGTGTTTCCTATGTTGATCTCTCTAGTTTTAAACACTCCAGTCCTGGGGGTTCAACCAATTGCCACAACATATTATTTTCAGAGTAATACTGCTCTTTCTGTGTAATTATGTTCCAGCGTTGCTGTGTGTTTCAATTTAAGCACATATATTATTCCCATAATCAAAACAGTTGATGCTATAGCCCCCATATTTTATGGATGGGGAATTGGCTCAGGGACAGAGTTTTGAAAGTGTTTAAATATCCAAATTATTTGTCCAATCTCACAGAGGGAGTCTGTGCCAAAGAAAGGAAACAAGCTCAGCCTTGCATTCAAACCATTCCCTCTTTTTGCTAATTTGATCATTTG